ATTAATTATTTCACCATTTGAAAATGGATGCGAGCATTCAAGCACTCACCCAATGATACATCTGGCCGTTGGATGGTTGCAAATGTAATGTCGTTCGTCATCTCATTTTTATCTTTTATTTACTTTATCATAATTATTTATTTTATTTTAACTTGTTTTGTTTTTCATGTTTTAACATTTTTCTTCCTCACTTTTTGTATTTATTTTCTTACTTATTTGTTTAATTCTGTACTACTGCCTTGCATGTTGTTACAAATACAGTTTCTGCGTCTGTCAGATGTAAGATCCTGATTTTTAAAGAATAAAAAAAAGCCCTTAAATAGCTTCCAAACTCTTAACCGGTATTGCCCTGTCATATTCTTCAAACTCCAAAACTTTACTCGAGTACAAAAAGGTCGACGAGATAGCTCAGCCGGCTAAAGAGCCATGTTTCGAGCTGCTGTAACACGATGGCCTGGTTCGAATACTGTCTTGTCAAAATTCAAAGACTATCATACGCTGTAGTAAGAACAATAGTAAACAACAACAACAACAATAATAATAATAACAATAAAAATAATAACTATTACTACTACTCTTACTACTACTACTACTACTACTACTACTACTACTACTACTACAATAAATACTAATTGATGTAGTTCCTATGTAGTAAATTAAAAGTTTCAGTCCATCAATCATACCTTCTGACGTCATCAGTCAGATTGATGACGTCATTACGATATTTTATTCATTTAGGCATTTGTTGTTTCAATATTTTACCAATTTATTGAATGATCAATCGATCGGTTGATTGTTTGATTAATTGATCTATTGATTATTTCGTTGGTTGTCGTTTGGTTTGTTGTATGTTTGGCTGGTTGGTTAATTGACTGATTGATTGATTGATCAATAATTCAGATTATTGAATACTATCAATTTTACACAGGCACACAAACTAACCTAATCATTATTAATTCAACCAAAAAACAACTTTCCTTCATTGGATACTAACTCATTGTCATGGTGCATGCGTGTACACGAACGTACACATTACTAACCACACACACACACACACCACACACACACACACACCACACACACACACACACATACCACACACACACACACACACACACACACATACACAGACTTCAAAGATAAACACATACCAGGAAATGTGGAGAGTGATGAACAGTGACAAATCAGTATTCGCAAAGACTACTGACGAAGGCGTACAGAGGGTCCGAAACTCGAAAGGTCGATAAATAATTCGTCGCGGCAAAACAACGCGCACACACGCACAAAAGTTCACGCACACTTGTACCAACACATACAGACAAACGCACACAGACAAACACACACACACACACTTTACGACTTTTTAGCGTCTTAATTTGTTATTCACCATCTTTGTTAACTTCACTGAATGAATTTTAGATAAATTGATTTTTCTTTTATTATTTGGTGCTTATGTGCTTTATTTTAGTTACACTTTTGAGAACCGTTTGGTTCAATAATTAATTCACTTCTATTTATTAATTTGTCTCAATTTATGTGAATAAAAATTCAATTAACTAGGATAAGCAATTGATCCGTTTACTTCATTTTTTTGTTCTCATACGATGAAGAATTGTTGAATGATTTTTCCAAGGCAGTTAATCAACTTAGTAAGCAACCCCACCTTCAAATCACCAGTCCATTTAACACAACACCCCCCCTCAAAGGCAAGTACGCCTTCCTGATGGAGTCGACGATGAACGACTACTACAACCAGCGCAAGCCGTGCAACACCATGAAGATCGGCGGCAACCTAGACTCGAAAGGGTACGGCATTGGTACCTACATCGGTTCGGACCTCAGGTACGTAGGCCGATTTTTTATATTTAAATTTTTTTTCTTGTTTAAACGCAACAATGAGCGAGTCTTCACGAAGCATAAAACTTCAGCATGCATGCAACCGCTGGCCGATCCAGGCAACTTTGACGGGGAGGGGGGGAAAAATTTTGAAATTCTTTAAATTTTGACAAAAGTGACCAAGCATTTTGACTTGGAGAGCCAACATCTATAAATAAATAAATGAACAAACAAACAAACAAACAAACAAATGAGTACAATAAAATAAGCCAGATCTTTTTCATTGTTTGACATTCCACCAGGGACGATATCAACGTGGCGGTGCTGAAACTTCTGGAGAACGAGAAGCTTCAGAAGCTTCAGAAGAAGTGGTGGTACGACAAAGGCGAGTGCGTTATTGAGACTGACAACAAGGTTTCCTCCTTTGTCTCGTTCCCTTGTTCATTCGTTCATTCATTCATTTCTGTTCACTCGTTTGTTTGTTCATTCATTCATTCGTTCATTTATTTACTTATTCATTTGTTCATTTTTTGTGTGTTCATCCACTCATTCATCATTCATTCATTGATTCACTCATTAATTCATTCATCATCATTTATAGATTCACACATTGATTCATTCATCATTCGTTTATTGATTCACTCATTAATTCATTGATTCACTCATTAATTCATTGATTCATTCATCCGTTTGCCTGTCTTCTTATGACAACATTACATATGAAATTTGTGGCAAGAAATATAGGTATTATTATATTAATTATAGTTCTCCACCATGTAATATTGGTTATTGTTAAACTGCTGCTTATCAGATTATGAAATAATAAAAATACACATAACTTCGGGCTGGTTTCACTTTTATTGCATGTTTCCAGATCTATAAGTGAACGAGCAATATAAAACATAAGTCAA